GACAGATCCCTGCCTTCCAAGTGATAGGATTAAAGGTGTGTGCTAACATTGCATGACTTTTGTGTTTACTTATAATGGCTGGCCTTTTCCTCTGATCTCCAGACAAGCTTTACTTATTAAAGCACAAATAAAATATCACCACATTTCATCACAAATAAAATGTCACCACAAACCATTGATCATTAAGATACTTGAAAACACACACAAAAGAAAAAAAAGATACTTGAATACTGAAAAAGTAGGAAGGCTAACGGTGGATAGAGGATAATATTTTAAGTTGAATAGTGTATGTTTTATTACAAATTAATATATTCCCTTCCCTCAATTCTCTTTTTGTGTCGTCCTCTGTATCAATCTGAATAGTGGTGCTTTTGTGTCTATCTAGAATAGTTCTTTCAATATGGATAGACCACTGGAATGATAATATGTTATATGCTGTGTGGACTGAAACTTGAGAAGTTATTGCTTGTAGGATTTTTCATGTATCTCTTCATTGTTTTAGTTTAACTCTTTTGTAAAGCCAATAAATATTATTCTTTTTTTGGTGTGTGTGTGTGTGAAGTTATATCTTCACATTCTGTAATTCTGACATATTTAGGTCAAACAAATCTATTAAAATTATACTTCAGAAATAGACCTTTCTAATTAGTCATGACTTGTTATGTAGAATAATGATACTCATAAGTAATCCTAGATTATTTTTGTAGTGTTCTGCTAAGAAAGTATCCTATTTTTTACATACTAATATACTAGAGCTCTAAGTGGAAAAACAATAGTTTCTGCTCAATGGCTTTACAATACTGGTGAAACAGGAGAAATCTTTGTAAAATTTTCATTTGAAACATTGTAGTTCTTTTGTACTGGCTAATAACCCATTATAAAATGAGTTTATTCAAGAAATTATTTAGAAGTCACTGCAGTATTTTAATCACTGAATAACTTCATGACAGCACATCTTTTCCATAGTTAAATTGATTGTATTTCTAAAATTGCAGCACCTTGCCAGGCTTGATTGTGGTCACCTTTAACCACAGCACTTGGGAAGTAGTCTCTATGTGATAGAGGCCAGCCTGGTCTACAGAATGAGTTCCAGGCCAACCTGGGCTACATAGTGAAGTGCTGTCTTAAAATAAATGAACAAACAAAAAATAAATAAATAAAAGTCAGCATCTGAAGCTGTCAGGAAATTATTGTAAATACTATTTTAATTAACACCTTTGTGATTAGATGGAAAGAATCTGTAGTTTTCATGTTTAAGTCTGTATGGGTGAAATAACAGGAGGTTTTGTGATTAGACATTGCAGAATTTCATAATTAGTTGAGCCTTGATCATGTAGCTATATGAGTCTATTATGCTGTTTTCACTTTATTTGTATATGAGTTTAGAATAGCCTTATAAATATCAGTAAAGAGTTGCCTAAAAGCTGGGCGGTGGTGGCGCACGCCTTTAATCCCAGCACTTGGGAGGCAGAGGCAGGCGGATCTCAGGCTACCAAGTGAGTTCCAGGAAAGGCGCAAAGCTACACAGAGAAACCCTGTCTCGAAAAAAAAAAAAAAAAAAAAAAAAAAAAGAGTTGCCTAAAATAGACATTGGCAAATATTTGGTTGTTGCAGTTTGTTTGAGATGAAAGTCTGAAAATGGTGGTGAAATTGGTCAGACGTTATGAATGTACTGA